TCTTCTGTAATGAGGACAGTTTTAGATGAGAAATTGTGGTAGGACACAGGGTTGTGTGACTTCAGGAGTACTGTTGCGTCCTCCGTATGGGTTACTACAGCTCAAGCTTAATTTCACCCTTTATTGTATTTTTGATTACCAAAGTAAGTATAAATGACTTAGTAAGTATAATGACTTAGTTCTTTTCTCCACTTTTTATTTTATTGATAAAGTAAGAAAAATGACACAGTCACAGGTATGTACCAGACCTATGTGGAGGATTTGGTTTGTTTGGAAGCACTCTCAGGCATAGGCACTGCAGTGGCCTGCCAGAAGACTGTTAGGCCAAGACACCATTGTCTCTCACAGAGGAGTGTGTTCTTATTCATGAGGTTGAAAGCAGTTTACTCCCAAGTTTGCTACTACTGTTGCTATTTGTCCATTTATAGGAGAGACAGGAGAATGCTATTCTCCATTTGCATTGATAATTTTGTGGGAATAGATGCTTACAATCACACTTTCTGCTCCTGAGGATCCTTTGTCAAAGTCAAATGTACAGTGGTGTTTAATTCTATGGTGTAGGTCATTGCTACTTCCTTCCTTCTATTGGGACTTTGAATTATATCCAAACCATTTCATTCCTCAAGAGATGCTGTTAGCCAGAGAGTAAAGTGCTTTACATGACAGGTCTTATTTTCCTCAGCCCAAAGATCACTAGTATAACATGTAATATAGTATAGAAATGTGTCTGTGTTTTGCTAGGGTTAGTCTTTTGTGTAGACTAGTAAGTTTGTACATAGATCATGATTTACCAAAGACATAAAAATTAATGAAAATCTTAATTCAAATTCCATAATCTATGTAGGAAATTTTTATCTCCTTTTATCCATTTTTTTGAGAAATTCAGTTCTGAACCCAATTTTATATACTCTTTCCCTATTAATTAGCAGGCTTTGTTTATGACAAAGGCCTCACTCCTCAGAGCATCCATATATGTTACCACTAAAGAAACAGTGAAGCCAGGTGTGGTGATACACATCTGTAATCCCAACATTTGGGAAATGGAGGAAAGAGGGCACAAGGTTCATGGCCATCTTCAGCTACACAGCAAACTTGAGGCTATCCTAGGCCATGTGAGACCCTGTCTCAAAAAGACATATATGAAAATAAATTTTTAAACCAATGAATTCATAAGGCCTAGAATGGAAAGAATATAAAAATTTAAAACTATGAGTGGACCAGCTCAAGATGGGTCAGGAGGTAAAGAAGGCACTTACTGCCAGCCTGGTGACTTGAGTTCAATCCCTGGGACCCGTATGGGAAGAAGAGAAAACAGACTCTTCCACATGTGTACTGTGATACACATGCCCCCCCACAAATTAATAGATGTAATAAAAAGCTTAAAAATATAAATATGAGCAAAGCTAAGTTTCTGACATTAAAGAAACTGGCTTTAATATGTTATGAACCTAGATTTACAACGACAACCCATTATTAAATTACTAAATCCTCCTTTCAGTGATGCTTATAAAACAGGTTATAATTGATCCCTTTTGTGAGCATAATTTAATTTCACTTCCACTCAGGAAGTGTGTTCAATGTGGTGCATGAAGAAGTAATGCTTAAACATAGGTATACGGAGAGTGTTCACTGGTGGGATAGAAGGAACACAGAGGAGATAGTGTTCACTGGTGGGATAGAAGGAACACAGAGGAGACTTTTCTCACGATTTGAGAATTCTTATCTAAGAGAATACATTAGATAGAAAAACACATTTGACCATAACATCACCTAGAAACCTCTCTTTCTGCCTGTAGAAATGCGAAATGATGATTTTTCATTTTCAGTACATAAGTTTTTTACATCCTTCTCAATCATTGTGTTGTTTTTAATTGATAGATTTTTTTTATCATTGTAAACCTAAAACTGAAATTAAAATTAATTTCAGAGTAGTCACCTAAAATATACAAAATGTGTATCTTAAACCTAAAATAATAACCAGTTTAGCCATTATCATTTAGGCCTTAGGTTATTGAAGAATAATAAAGTGAAAACCGTAGTGACAGGCGCGCTCCCAGAATGTGCGGTCTCTGTTCTCAGTCCTCTGAGGACATTTCTTTGATGTAATGAAGCCTCCTATTTGCTGTTCACTCTCAATCCTACCATCATAAAGAAGAAAGTATCAAACCTATGCCTCTAAACTTCTGGTGCTGGAAGGCAAACCACACTTTGTGTTCTCTGTAAGTATAGAGTCAGCTACCAAATCAAATGAATCATTGCTTAGCAAAAGATTGGGGCAATAACAATGGTATAATGGAGATCTACCCAGTTTCTTTTCCTTTTCTTCTGTTTCATATCTTTCACAGCTTTCTACAACCATTACATGGCTTTTCACAGGGCCGTTTCTGTGTTTACTAGTGGCCAATTCATTTTAGTTAATAAGAACAACACCCTTTTGAGCCGAGTTTTGAAATTTTAACTTCTTTATGGATCAGATAGCTTAGCTACATTTCTTGGCCGCAGACTCTAAATACAAGCTGTCCAGATGGATCACAAGGCATGTCATACCTCAGGAGAATCACTGTATATCCATGACATCTCTATAGTTCATTATAATGAGGGACATTTTTGTACTTACATCACAAGCTATGATTGTTGTGTTGACCTATGGAAACTTGTAAGGTTTTTTGCATGCGTTTTTTCTTCTTACTGTTTACCTTAATATATGGATTCCAAATTCAGCACTGAGCAAGAAGGGTTGTCTAGGCAGTTTTAGAACATAATTTCCTGTAAGAATTTTGAATATGAGAAAGTAAAGTTTTAGTCACTAGTAACTGCTGGAATACAAACTGCAAAGAAATAAAAGAAAGCAGTAAAACCTGAGGAAGAACAGAAATAGGAGGTGGAGAGATATAGAGATAAGCACACCCGGGACTTACTGGCCAGCCAGTCTACCTGACACAGTACGTTCCAGGTTCAGTGCAAGACCCTGTCTCCAAAAATAAGGAGTAAGGTGGCAAACAACAGAACACTCAGTACCAACATCTGGTCTCTACACTTTCACCCACAGATGAGCACTCGTGTGTATGCACGCGCGCGCGTGTGCGCGCGCGCACACACACACACACACACACACACAGGAGGGAGGAAAGGAGAGAGAGAGTGAGTAGACATGCCTAAGGTGATGAGTGGGAAGAATAGAGGGAGGAAGAGGGAGAGAGGAAGATTAAGTAGACATGCCTGAGATGAGTCTCTTGATATGGTCAGGCCCCTTTTGCCCAAGAAATTCTTATATGACCCCTAGTATATGTTAGTATATACCCCAGTATATAGGCATATAACATAGGTATAAAATCAAACATTTATGGACAGTCATAAATTTACTATAAAATAATTACTTGGTATATGTAATTTTACCATTTATTAAAGACAAATTTTTATACCGATGGATGTGCTTGGTTTTTTTAAAATAATCTTTGCTGAATATTTCATAGGACAGAACATCATTTGTTTAGAATTAATCAATATCTGAATTTATAACTCAATTCTGAGAACACTGCTATACATAAATATATAGTATAGAATGATAAATATGTTTAGGGCCTTTCAGAAATGGGAAATTCCACCCTAATCCCAAGCCAAAATTTATTGGGGGGTGTGTGTGTGTGTGTGTGTGTGTGTGTGTGTGAGTGTTTTGCCTGTGTGTGTGTAAGTACATGCCCATGGAGGACAGAGAGGGTGTTGGATCCCCTGGAACTGAAGTTATGGATAGTTGTTTGCCACCAAGTGGATTTTAGGACTCAGGAGTCTTCTACAAGAGCAGCCACTGTTCTTAACAGCTGAGCCATCTCTCCAGCTTCATCATACAACAGTAAAAATCAAATGTATTGATATAATACAATCCAAAGTTATACTAATATGATAGTTCCATGCTGAGACGTGATAATAGGAAAATATGTCTGGTTTGTATGTCCAGTAAAATCACTGCATTTCCTAAAGTAACATAGTGTCCAATCTGAGCAGAAGTGTTAGAGGCAGTATATTCTGGCCTTGCAAACTGATGACAAGAGCAGTACAAAGCCCGTAAGCCCCCAGTGCTCAGAACCAGGAGGAAGTAAATCTCCAGTGACACAGGCAGGTGCTGCCAGAAACACATTCATTACTGTTTGATTTTGGCTTGGCTTTTGGACTTTGTATATTCAGAAATAGTGTTACCAAGTTTTTGTCTCAGGTTTAAGAACTTACAAATTTGATGTGCTTCTGAAAGTTTTTTTCTGCTTCGTTGGACTTTGGTTTGTTGTTGTTGTTGTTTCTGTTTTTGTGTTAAATGAACCTCATTCATTTCTTGCCTTTTTCTCTGATTCAGTTGGGTATGCCTGTCACAGAAGTTCCTCCATCATGGCTCCTAGTATGGCGTGTTTGGTCTCAGCTGATAGAAGGAGATAGTTGATTATTGATGTCTTTGTAAACTGGAAGACCATCTCAGTTTTGGACATTAACTGTGCTATTAGGCAAGCATGTTATGGTTTACATAATTTTTCCTTTTAAAAGTCTATTTAAAGATCTGGAGAGATGGCTTTTGTTTTTTACTGCTTTTCCAGAGGACCTGAGTTCAGTTCCCAGAACCTATGTCAGGTGGCTTAACCACCTGTAACTCCAGCTCCAGGGGATTTTATGCCCTTTTCTGGACTCACGGCACCCCACACTTGTGGCAGGCACACAGTACACATTAAAAAGATAATAATTTTAGACTTTAAAGTCAGTCTGTATTGAGTAGTCTATGACATTGAACTTATGTTCTCTACCAGTTGGGTGTAGTGGTGAAACTCATTCACAGTGTTTTATTCTAGCTCGTGTGTATAAATTTCTTGAATTTTCAGCATGAACTGGGGAAAGGAATCTTGGTTGCCATTCTTTCCCATTTAAATTTCTACTTTCCTTCTCTTTCTCTTCTCTTTTCTTTTTATATGCATATTCTCTCAGCTGTCAGTGGAATTATTGTCTCCTATCTCCATATTCAGGTAGTGTCAGTGGCTGAGTATCACCGCAGGATCGATGCTCTAAATACTGAAGAACTGCGCACACTCTGCAGACGTCTCCAGGTGCCCCCTTCTGTAGTTTAAACCCTCCAGAGATTAAATGCTCTTGGTTTTTAGTGTCCTTGTTCAAGACAAATCCCACATTTGAAGAATTTGTTTTGAATGAAGCGCTAAAATAACCCATCAGAAAATGTCTTTTTTTTTTTTTTTCATTGAAGTCTAGTTTTGCCTTGGAGAGCTGTAGCAATGTTTCTGTCTTCTTTTCACTTGAAAAGTTTTCAGAATACTTCTCAATCAGTTCAGAACTATTCTCAGTACTGTATGTTTCTTTGAGTGATGAGTTTTCATTTAACTTTGACATTGGGAAAATATTTGACTTTGTGAATGAATATTTGACTAGAATCTGGAAGCTACTAGGCTATAGGACAGTGTAAAAATATTTCACAGAAAGCAAGACTATCTGTTTCTCTTTATGACTCTTTGAATTGGAGAAACCATGAATAAAATTTCTTAATGAGACAAATTGTTTTTGTTCTTCAGACATTCTTGGCTGGTATTAGAATTATTTGTAATAGTCTAGGGGAACATTAATGCTAGATAAAATTTGTAAAATGTTGTGAAATCTTTTTTCACAATGTAATGAAATTGAAAACTCATTTTTCAAGTTTTATGTTTTTCTTTTTATAAAGATGCTTTCATCACTTGCTCAAAGACTAAACAGTTTTCTTTTAATTTTCCCAATGCTGCCTTGGATTTCTGTTTCGTTCTGTTTTAACCTTTCACATCATTGAAATAAAGGTAAAACATGATGTGAAAGCATTCATATTTAGCTTCTCATCAAAGCAATAATTCTAATACCAGAATTATTGAAAATGCATACTGTACAGATTTGGGAACAGATCTCTTGAAGGACGAGGAGTTAGCAAGGTTCTATCCCTGAGTGGCTCAGTCACTGAGCTTTGCTGCATTTTAGTTATCTGCTCCAGTAGAATTCTGTGTATTTTCCAACTTAAAAGTTTCACCAACAATGATTATGTTAATATGTTTTATTTTCTAGTCTTACTGTGTTTTATATCTTAAAATTAATATAAAATGTAGGCATTAGGTCATATGGTGATTGTATAGTAAGTTTGTTAATTAACATGTTTGT